TAGGCAGATGATGAGAAGATTGGATGTAGTGCCACTAGTATGTGGTGACAGATTTCACTCTATTTCTTTTTCATTCTCTGAACAATGTGGTTGCTTAGCTTTTCCAGCATTGAGCAGATATAATGGCTTGGATGAAAGGCCATTATATCTTCAAATGCTAAATGAGTAGAAATAAGTAGATGAAACACAAGAAGTGATATTTGATATTTGGTGATATTCCTAAGAATTCAAGGAATAATTCTTATGCTTGCTGTTGTGATGTACAGTTTAGGGACAGTTGTAGCTGTAGATGTACAGTTTTAGCTGTCTTCACATCACCAGCTAAATTGCCCAGCTAGCAGTCTCCAATGTGGGGAAGCAACTTCATTCCTCTGAGGACCACGTTAGGGGTGGGGCAGGTAGTGGAGCAGCATATAGGTGTTCATTCTTGAGAGAGAAATTTTCTCACAAGGGAGGTCTTTCAATTGTCAACTTGGAAGGTCTTTCTCCTGGAGGGGGCAAGTTTCCCCTGGGAGAGTGAATTTCTTGAATGAATGCTTATACACTCCTTGTTTCTACTGGGAGAGTGGCAATTCTCTCAGTAGAAACATAATTCTATGTACATGGCCTTAGTGACTTACTCTATGCATGTGGTCTACCTTGGATGATTCTGATATTCCCAATCAGCTTCATCTCTATAAATCACTTTCCCTAATGGTATCATTTAGCATGTTAACATACTGTTTTTTTTTCACGAAGGAGATCAGTGACAGTGTTGTAGATTTTAGTTGTAATAGGAAGCATTGACAATCTAATCTATGATAGGTTTAACTAAGTAGTTGCTATAATAATAAATACTTAATAAAATGATACAGAGCTTGATGAGTTGGGTATGGCAACATTAGTTATTAAATTCATAAATGAGCTCTGTGGATATGTCAAATTATTCCCAGAAAAATCTTTATATTGCATTACCTGATATTTTGTGTTTGCTTATTTAAAAATGAAATTACATTTTTCAGAAATATTTTAGATATATTATACTGAATATTCTACAGAAATATTTCACTAAATATTTTAGTATTTTTAGTTTCTTTTTTCACTTGTCTTCTCCTAAATTTTACATTTTAGACCCAGAGGCTAACCAAACAGGGAATTACCATAGCTAGAAACAGTTGTCTTATAAAACTGAAAAAAATCAGGGTTCACTCATTTTCAATTATGTAATGTTTCCAATGTATTTGATCCTAAAGTAATGTTATATTAGAGAGTAAATTTTACAGTTTGGAAGGGATATATATTTAAAAAATACATGGGGTATTGACTGAGGGCACACAAAAGTTAAACTTTTTAGAATACCACATTTCAAAGGTGATAGATTGGTTGGCCTAGGGCAGATGCATTAGTCAAAAGTGCATTGTAAACAGTCTTTTTTGGGGCTGAAATTTATAACAAATCACCATCATATGTAGAATATATAAGAAAATTGTGTTTATAAAAGTAATTATACACAATTTATACAGTTTCAATTATTTTTCTTCTTACATACTAGAGACTGGTTTGTAAACTAAAATGAACAATCGTTAATCACAATCTGAAAATGTAATGTTATATAATGTATATTTAATTTGTATCTTTCCTTGTACTAATTGAAATCTATATTATGCTGATATTATGCTATGTTTTTCTTTAAAAATGCAGGATAGCAGTTTTGTTAAAGATTCACCTACACTTTATCTGTAAATTAACTGTGAACTGGTTATGCATAGAAACAATCCTTTTAATGCAAATAATGTCATCTTATTGAAATCTTACAAAGGAGGTACAAAGCTATAAGTAATTTGATGAAAATATTTAAAATATTGGAATATCACATGCTCATTTAGAAAGGAACAGTAGATAGTGGGTATCTGAATAACTGAAATTTCCTCCAGTTAATCAAAGATTCTTTTGTGTGTGGACAGACTGTTTTTTAGAACTTAAAGGTTTGCATCAGCAATGCAATTCTTCTTAAGAAACTGAAAAAATGTAGAAATCTTTCAATATTTTAATAGTATAACAAACATATAAAGTAAATCAGCAATATATTAATAAAGTAAAGAAGTCTGATAAAAGCATGTAGATGATATTAAAATAATTACAACTATGCACATGCCTGTTTGATGTGTAAGTAAAGACCGTGATGCACATTATCTTTATTAATAAATTAAGTGATACATTTAGATCAGCTACATGTGCAAAGTAATATTGTATGATAAAAATGACTGTCCAACTTAAAAAATGGCCAACCAGCTACAAAGATTTTGCTTGAGAAAATGTAGAACAGGTTTTTGTAGCTTGTTTATTTCAAGCTTTAATTTGAATATGTGACATGTTACAGGTCTTGGCTATGTCCTTCAGCATCCCAAGGTGCATTGTTTCCTCTCACACATCCCCAGCCCCGCTATCTGGAACAGCAGCCTGGGCTGTAAACATAGTCCTTGTCTGTCAAACCTCTCAAGTAGTGGGAGATTCCTTCCCCCTCATCCCCTCCCTCCCATAACCCTGTGAAAAGATAGAAAAAGCCCTCCTCACGCTCAGTGCAAGACCCTGGGGATTCCTTCTCCCCTGCACTTGGCAGAGGGAGGCAGATAAAAGTCCCAGAGCACAGAACCAGGTTCAGAGGAGACCCCTTCCCCAGCATGGAGCATGGAGTGGGGTTCCCTCCCTCGTCGTGCACAGAACAAAGTGCAGGGTGAGGGAGTATGGCGCCATGCACACAGGGAAACCAGACCACAGTGGAGAGATTAGTGTGGGGAGAAGAGGGAACACACAGTATGTTCTCTGTGCTGAGGAAGGGGCTTTGCTCAGTGCAGGGAGAGGGAGGAAATCTTCAGTCCTTTTACTGCATGAGACAGGGGCATCCCCATACATCTAACTCCATGGTGGGGGAGTGGAGAATTCCCCCTTCACTCTGTGCTTTGCTCAGCATGGGGAGAGGTAGGGAAACTCTGGTGCTGCTCTACATGAGGAAAGGGGTTTCCCTGTATTCCCAGCTCCATACTGGTGGGGGTGTAATTCCTACCCCTTTACCCCATGCTTTGCTCAGCGTGGGAAGAGGTAGGGAATAGAAAGCCCTTGCTCTATGTGGAGCGGGGTTTTCCATGGGCACTTGGCTCTGTGCCAGGGGAGTAATACCTCCCCGTCCTATAGATTCCCCCATTGTTCACTTATTGTCATGGAGGGATTTCCTCTGAACAACTCTTGCTTGGCATGGGGGTGAGATTTTTCCACCACCCTATGCATTGTCCAACACAGGGAAATGCCTGGTTCCCTGGTGGCAAATTTGCCCAAGATAGGAATCCCTGCACTCTTTGCCCAGAGCTGAGAGTCTGCCTCAGCTTAGGGGGGACAGGGGTTCTCCCCCCGCCCCGCCACTCACCCTCGCCCTTCTGGCCAGGGGAGGGGAGGAATCCTCAATCATCAGCCTGCCTGGCTCTGTTCAGGACAGGGAGTTCCCCACACCCAACCAACTCCCTTGCCTGGTTCTGGTTCCTCAACGGGAGGGGTGGGGACAGGGTAGGGGACATTTCTTAGCAGAGTCCTGTCTACTAAAGTTGTGTTGCTGGCCAGTGTTAAGCTTAAGGAACTCCTCTAGCTGGTTATCAACAGCAGCACAAGCTGGCATGCCCCTTTCCCCTTCTTTCCCCCTCCCTCCCCCCACTCGATACCTTGCCCTTTGCACATATAGTCATGCACATGGCTCAGTGTTTCATGGCATGGAAAAAAACCCATATCATGATTGACACAACATCATTCAAGAACCTAAGTCACTACAAAGTATAAATTATATTTCTTGTGCAGTAAGTAGCCAAAACTGCGCCAAAAATAGGTTTTTAAAAACTTAAGTTGGCATAAATAGTGTTTTACATGGATTTATTTTCCTAATACATAAAAAAATAAATACTATTGCAAAAAGATACTGAATTCTATTTCCTTACTTGCAAGATTAATGTTGACAGGAGTAATGCTTAAATCAATCTTTACATTTAGAAACAATGAATCTTGGTCATAAAACAAGTATATGGAGTGTATTGTACAACACATATATTTGGTGGTTTAATCATAATTATTTGGAAAGCCTTGCTTTTTGGCCAAAAATTGTCGACATAGAATTGTTGAATTTAAAATTAGCACTTGAGGCAGCTGAAACTAAATCTTTGAAAATCTACAAAAAAAAAACCTTGCAGAATTCATGTTATTTATTTCCTATCTTATAAATAAGAAGTCTGGAGGATTGTCAGGCAGCCAGATTGCTTTTCTGAATTTCTCTGAAGAATGCTTTATGTACAAGTCTTTGAAAAAAGACAAATGAAAAAGGCAACCCCCCACTTAATTCTAAAAATATTTTTCAAACACAGATGATGCATTAACTTTCAAAGACCTGCAGCTATAATAGAGAAAGTTAACGGCCTTCTATTATTTCATTATTATGATTATTTTAAACAATAGGGGGGGTCTGAAATGGAGTGGAATTTAAATGAGTTTAAATTGATTTAATTCTTAATTTAATTAATGGATTTATTTTTAAATTCTGAGATTCATTTTGATTTGCCCAAAATAAATGTTTTGATTTTGGGAAGGAGCAATCCTACAGTTATTAAACATAAGCAAGAGACTGAATTCCTGCTACAAGTGGAACACTCAAATTAAACATAACCAAATAGCTGTGATTTCCACCTCTGTAATTATCTGACTGTCATTGCTTCAGACTTTAGTATTCACTTTTTGTGGCTCTTATTGATAGAAACCTGCTAATCTATTTGTTGCCACTCATAAACCAGGATTTTCCCCTAAATATTGGACCATGCATTTGATATTTTATAAGTTTGAGTTGATCCAGGTGCACATTATTGTTAGGTCATCTTGCTTGAATGTAAATTAAGATTTTTTGTCTTTTTCTTATGGTGTAATTTGAATAAACTGTGGCACGTTGAAAATTCCAGTCAATTCAGTGGACTCTCTGTTGCCCCCTTTTTCAGATGACGGTTGCTGCTGGTACGAGCATTGAGAATAACATTCAAAGGACCATATCCTGCCCTAATGTATGTTCCACATATCTTGGTTTTTTGTGTAATTTAAATGGAAAACCTCATTATATGAATTTGATAATTTGTCACCCACAAATTCTTGTGTATCTCAAGGTTCCTGTATATTGTACTACAAGTGGAATTCTCAACCTATCAAAATACTGAATTACTATCATTTTCCATATATGATTTGGTATCTCTGCTAAATAAAGACTGTGATGATATATTCACAGCTCATTCCAAGTTTACTTTCCTTCCAGCTCAGTGTTTCTGTCAGTTGAAATCAGTGGAACAGTGACAGGCAAAAGGAGGAAAGCAAAGAGAAGCTATATTTATTATACTTACCACTGTTCTAAATTTGACTATATATATATATATATATATATATGATGTACCAAATTTGGAAGATAACTTGATTTTTCACTGCTTAAACGAACATATTTTTTGATTTAAAATGATGATGAATGACAAGTCAATATTTTGATGGAAAAGTAGAATAAGAAGCCTATTTTGGTTAACAAGAGAAATTGTTGATTCACTTGTAGTATAATAGGTCATTTATGTTATGTATTTGTTTTGCAATAAACCAGTCAGAAAGTGGAAACTCAGTGATCCAAAGTCTGTCCTCAGAAACGTAGAACATCAATGCAAGTTCAGCACAACCACCCAAGGACAAACTTTGGCTCTGTGTCTTACAGCAGGCTGGTGTTTTTCATGAAATGTATGTTATAATTTGTGTGCATAACATAATGTTCTCTTGATAAAGATGACTGCATTGGGGGGTGGGGGAGAAATGGGATTTGAGAAGAAACTTTGTTTATGAACCTAAAATCATAAAAATATAATGCTGATAAATACAAATATAGTTAGATAATGCTGCTAACTAAAATTGCTGTTTTTGATTTGGTATGGTAAAATAGCAGAAGAGACACTTATCTAGCTCTAAATATAGTATCCTGCATCTGGCTATTTGGGCATCTGTGGGGGCATCTACACATGTGCTTTACTGTGGAGTTGACTAATTAGCTCCTCAGTAAAGTGTCACCGTCTGCGTGTGCAGCATTATTAGGCTGGAGTAAACTAATTAACTCTGCCATAGGATAGTCCTGCCCAACAGAAGTACTATCCTATGGTGGAGTTATGTACTGTGCTGCAACACACATGGAGACAGTGACCAAGGACAACTGGGGCATGAGGATTCTACAGTGCAGGGCTACCTGCTACCTAGCTCCGCACTTAAGCACCCTTGTGCCCTAGTTACCCAGTCAGGTCTCTGATCGCCACAGCCCGCTGAGCCAGGCAGGAGCAACTCTGGGCTGACAGACTGACCCTCTCCTCACCCCCGCTTGAGTCCCCCGTCATCCAGGACTGTGCCACCCCAGCTCAATGTGCTGCAGTCCTGGCACATCTGTAAACACTGTGACTGGGAGCAAGAAATTCCAGCACAATATGTGCCAGAATTTATTGAATCACATTAATAGCACATGTAGATGCTCCTTGTTTGCATAGGAACTGCCCTTTTAAATTCTTGTTACAGTTTTGTCTGATGAGTCTGCCTTTCAGCATATGAGGTAGAATACCCTCAATATAATGCAAGATTGATTTCCAAAGAAGTGAGTTTTTCCCATTCCCTTGTTTCAGCATGAGTGTAGCTTCTTCAAGGCACATTTGATCTGCTAATTTGCACCAGAAATTTTCTTACCAGGCTTTATATATCCATTATTAAGGTAAAGGTCAAAGTTCTTCCTGAGCCTAGCACAGGGGCGGGCAATTATTTGAGCCTGAGGGCCACATACACAGTTCTGGGGAGCTGTTGTGTGCTGGTCCCCCGCTATTCCCCACAACAGCCTCGTGTCCAAGCATCCTGCAGCTCCTCTCCTCCACCACCACCACCACCAGTGCCCAGCAGTAGTTGAGCGCACAGCCCAAGCCCTGACCCCAGCCCTCCCCATGCCTGCTCTGGACTTGCCCCAGCCAGAGTGGATCAGTTCTGGACCAGCCAGAACCCACATACACAGCCCTGACCCTGGCCCGTCCTGAGCCTGTTCCAGACTGCCTACCCACACTGAGCAGTGGCAGTGACTGGGCAGAAGATGCTGCTAGGCGTGGGGGAAAAGCAGCTTCTTTCCTCTCTTTGTTGCTGGGACCGTTTTGCTGTGGCCACCAGCAGCTTGTCCCCAAGATGCCCTGTGGCTTCTCTCCCTGGCCATTGCTGCCCCGCTGGGCAGCCCAGAGGCAGCAGTGAGAGTGGCATAGAGGAGCTGCAGGGCAGCCCAGGCACAGGCTGCAGGTGGTTGGAGCAAGAAGGTCTCGGCAGTGATGAGGATGAGGCGGCCTTTTTTCCTCCGCACCTAGTAGCAGTTTCTGCCTGGCTGCTGCTGCTGCTCAGAGAGGGCAGGAGGTCCGGAGGAGACATGTGGTGGGCTGGGGTCAGGGCTGTGCGCAAGGGTTTCAGCTGGTCTGGACCTGGTCTGCTTTGTCCAGGACAAGTCTGAAGTGGGTGCGGGCTGGGTCAGGGTTGAGGCTGTGTGCATGGGTCCCTGCCAGTACCATGGGGCTGGGGTCAGTGGTGGCAGCAGCTGCTTGGGCTGCTTAAGAATTCAGTCCAGCCATGGACCTGCCCCAACCCAATTGTGCGCATGGGGGTGGTGGGATGCACCACGGGCCAAATAGCATGTAGGCCAGGTGGGACCAAGGGACCCATCATAGACCAAACAAAGTCCCATTGCAGGCTGGATCCAGCCCACAGGCTGCATTTTGCCCACCCCTGGCCCTAGCAGTTAATTCAGGTAGCATAGGTAAGGCACACCAATTTCTGTAGTTAATGGCCTGCAAATGACTGATGTGGCTAGCATGATGTCTGATCATCTCTGTCTGCACAGCCTGAATGACCAGTTACACACTTAAGGTGAGTTGCCTGGGAGAAGCCTTTAGCATGAATCTAGAGAGGGCCTTCAAATTCATGCCTTTTATAGGTGTAGCAGGGTGGCTTAACCGTTCTGCTGTTGTTTATGCCTGTCAGCTAAAGTTGAACCTAAAATAAAAGCATGCAGCCTAGAAGCCTGGCACAGTACAATATAATTTCAGAACAGAGTACCCAAAGGTTCACGCTATAACTTAACTTAGTATAGGTGCAATTTTAATTTTTTTTTTAATGGTTTTCAAAACTGAGGAGAACTTCCAAGATCTGGCTTCCAAGAAAAAAAAAATCACTGATTCGTCTTCCACCCTTTGGACAAGTCCTACACTATTACAGCATTGGAAGTCCTTCTGTTGACTTCTCTTGGTTCAGGGTTTGACCTTTCCTCTACAGAAAGGATGACAGGCAACATGGATAAATCAGTCACAAAGTATTGCTCTTTTTCTTTTCCACAGAGGAAGTTTCTGAATCTTTAGAGAACAAGTATTTAAAGCTGGAGTATTACATATTGGGTGTGTCTACACATCGCCCTACAGCAATGTAATGATGCACTACGTCACCGTACAGTGCACTATGGTGATTTAGGGGCTACACATGATTGGCAGCTACCTCACTGTAGCAGTGTGCTTCCCTGGTATAGCACGCCACTGTGGAGACATGGAGGTGAAATCTAACTGTGCACCGCACACACGGTGCAGTAACCACTTGTACTGTGCTTTGCTTTGGTACTTCTAAGAGGCCATAACAAGGTTGCTGTACAGCAATATGTAGATGCACCCATACACAAGTGTCTTATGCATTGGACTGCTCTTCTAATTACAAGACTAAGAAGAGCCTTAGTAACTATTTCCCAAGGTTGGCCAATATTATAAAGTAAGTCTTATTTATTAAAAAAAATGACAAATTTTGTACCAGTCTTCTGCAGTTTTTCCACAGGTTAGAATTTCTAATATCTAGACTGTAGTAAAGAGAGTTAGTTTACCCTGGGCATGTCTACGCAGGACACTACTGTGCAGTCATTACTGTGTATTTATTTAGTACTTGTATTAGAAAGTACTAAATAAACATGCATTAACTGAAGTTATTGTGCAGTGGCACCAGTGAACATCTTTTAGGTGATGCTGCTATGCCATAGTTTAATTATACTGCGCAGTATGTATTAGCACTATCCATCCTGTGGTGCGTTATTAAGCAGTATTTTTCGGCCACTGCGCAGTCAGCGTCTCACAAAGATTCACCCTCTGAAGACTCTATTTCTACATTATATTACTTTTACATTGTGAAAAAAATTTCATATTGAAAGCTGATGTTTATTTTCTATTTGTTGAATCTGTAATATAACGCACAGGTATTCACAAAAAGTATGAAACTTCACGTTCTTAATCCCAAATATATAGGGACTCATTGTCAGGTTCGTGAAAGATTTAATTTTAGATTCTACTAAGTATCAAATGGAATAAGTAGAATTCAGTATAGATTCAATATAGACGATTAAAAAATTCTGACCTAATTGCTCTGGCTATGAATTTTCGATTTTTCATTCCTGATTTGTATATAGATGTTCTTTTTTGCATCTAATTTAGAGCAATGTTTTTAATAAGTGATATTGCTGTGTGGTCCAAACCTTGGTTAGGTGACTTAAATTTAATAGCACTTCTTTTGAAGATGTATAAGCTTTTTGGAGAGAAGGTAAATGCTACATGATAGCGATTAATGAAGATGTAGGTGTCATCTCTGAGAGAGTACTCACAAGAGCAAGAATGACTTAATAGAGAGATCTTTTTATGATTTTTCCATACAACTCAAACTTTTATTTCAGCAGTCCTTTTGCTTTCTAGAACAAAGACAGAGTGACTGCCCCATAAATCTAGAAAGAAGTTTTTCTGTTGGTATTCTTTCATTTGAAGGCACCTTTCACGATCTTATATCAATAAAATAGAAATAATAGTTTTCTCTTGTTTTTATATAATATATACACATACACACTGTATGTGTATACATATATGTATGCATGTATATATGTTTTATAGGTGTATATGTTTTATATACATATATAAAATACACACACATGCGCGCACACATAAAAATTTGCCAC